AAGCCAGTGATTTCCAAAAACTGTTTTGAAAACACATTTTGTTGAGGAAACTGACAAATAAATGGTTTCCAAGCAACGAAAGCATATTTTTCCCATTGTTATGAACTCACTGTACATGTCTTAAACCAGCCTCTTTGCCTGGAGAAGTGAGATATTGACTCAAAAATGAGTATGTATGAGGGGAGAGATGAGGATGGTGCTATTCATCTCCAGACTCTGAAAACATCTCCAAACTCCATTTGTATGCCAGTGAGTAATAAATCCATGGATTACCCCCCTGCAATGACCTCTGACCCCAGGTAAGACAAAACACTGAAATTAACTAATAAAGTAAAGGAATACTTCAATTTCACCGTTATTTACTAATCTTTTACACATTTGTTGTAATAATTTTAATTTAATCAGATATGAGGTACACTCAAAAGCATCTCCAGAGCCCAGCTGTGTGTCCTTGAAAGTAATGGGTTCATGCAGCTATACAGTAATAAAATAGTGACCTCTGATTTCAGGTAAATGAAAACACTTAATCAGAATTATGTAATACAAAAAGTTGCATAATATATGACAAGTGACTCATTTAAAAGTGGTTCGTTAAAAAATCCTGAAAATTCTGTCATCGTTTACTCACCCTCATGGTGTCAAACCAGAAGGACTTCCTCTCTTCCATGTAGCTCAAAAGGAAATGTTGCAGAATGTTCATGCACCTCTTTTCCATACAATGAAAGTCAATAGGGTGGCCGCTGATGAGCACAAAACGGTGTAAAAATATCATAAAAGTAGTCTATATGACTTGTGAGCTGTATTGCAAGTCTTTTGATAGCTTTTTGTGACAAACAGATTAACTGGAAATCTTGTTATCAGCTGCAGCTCTCGTTTGTTTATTAATGCAATAAGCCCCAATTGGTTTACAGTGAATTTATAACAGCTAAGGGGTGTTGTTAGGCACGACTATTCATGTGACTATTATTCATGCAGAGGATTGTGTTTCCTTCTATTTTAGGTTTTCTGGCTGTGATCTCATTGATCAGTGCTGTGAAAGTGTGGCTTCAGCTCTACAATCAGCAGACTGCCCCCTGAGAGAGCTGGACCTGAGTAACAATGACATGCGGGATTCAGGAGTGAAGCTGCTCTGCGATGGATTGAAGAATCCTAACTGTCAACTAGAAAAAGTCAGGTAGTTCACCCAAAAATGAATATTCTGTCATCATTTATTCACTCTTATAAATTACTTTCTTCTGTGGAACACAAAAGAATATATTTTGAATAATGTCTCAACTGTTTTTGCCCACATAATAAATGTAAATGGGGTCCAAAACAACATTTTATATGAACAAAAAACTCTGTTTCACAGAAATCTGATTTGATGTGATTCCTTCCTCTAGATTGTCTGGCTGTATGGTGACAGAGCAAGGCTGCTCATACCTAATGTCAGCTCTGAGTTCAAACCCCTCACACCTGAGAGAACTGGATCTGAGCTACAATCACCCAGGAGATTCAGGAGTGAAGTTGCTACTGCAGAATCCAAACATAAAGTTGGAGAAACTCAAGTACCTGTTACTGATATAAAATTAACCAGCATAAAATTTTGTTCCATTTTTAGGACTCAAAGGGCCAGATTAAGTAAACAGGGAAAATTTGGCACCCATAAAAGTACAGAAAAGAGCTGAAAGTTTTGCGGGTGATTTACTGACAATGTGCGAAATAAAGTACAAAGACGCAGCCAGATCATTTCCATAATGACCAATGCAATCTACCAAGAGCAGCACAAATTAGAAACTATATTGCAGACGCATCAAGCGCAAAATGGGTTAAAAATGCTTTTTTTGGGTGTTAAACAATGGCACAAATACAAGTAAACTGACTAGCGCAAACCTTTGTAAATCACCTTGCATGATTCATTTAAAAAATACTCTCCTCCCATAAATTTCTGAAAGGGAAACTCCTACAAATGCATATGGAATAAGGTCAGCCACAAAAATAACCATGTCCATGCCTTTTCATCGCTCATTTTTCACTGCGTGTTTTTAGTAAATCCTGACAGTAGTTTGTTAATGCCAAAAGACGGTTTGCGCTGGTGCAAGCTGTTAGTAAATCTATCCCAAAGCATTAATATACAAGCATAAATTTAATACAAATACTACAACAGAACAGAAGCATAAAGGGGCCTATACAAAGTATAAGCAAAAAAAAAAAAAATTACATTATAATAATTAAAGGGGTCATATGATGTTGCTAAAAAGAACATTATTTTGTGTATTTGGTGTAATGAAATGTGTTTATGCGGTTTAAGGTTCAAAAAACATTATTTTCCACATACTGTACATTATTGTTTCTCCTCTATGCCCCGCCTTTCTGAAACGCGTCGATTTTTACAAAGCTCATCAGTCTGAAAAAACGAAACACACCGGCGGCTTGAGTGAGCGGAGGCCGGCGGCTTGAGTGAGCGGAGGGTTGCGGCAACCACATGTGACGACCCCGGTCTGGACTCCGCTTTGTCCACGGTGAAAGCCGATCCGGCGATCCACAGCGCGAAGTTGATGTATTCCCTCAGAGACCAGCACGGATCAGCTCCAGGCATGACGAAGCGGATATCGTCCTCTTTTGGAAGACCAAACAAAGCAAAGTAGTTTCGCTTTCACAACTAAACACAGCGCCTTCACGACATGGCGGCAGCAACAATACTACAGCGAGAATAAAAGTTACGCCTTCTTTCTTTGCGTGAACATTTGGCTTGCTTATGCAAATCTTCCCACATCGTGATGTAGACATGTGGGGGCGTGTTAGAACGAGCTGTTTTAGGTAGGCGTGGTTGTTCTTAACTTTTATAAAGAATATCTCTTTGGATTTGAGACTTTAGTCTTTGCAACTTTACAGATCTTCTTTATGCACCAAGAGCTTGTAACACTCCAAAGAGAAAGGAAAAATTGAAATTGCATCATATGACCCCTTTAAAATAATTTTGTTTCAACGAGTTCAGTTTAGTTTAAATTGAATTTATGTTTATGTCTTTATAGTTTGGAACATAGAGAACAGATCAGAATCACACCAGGACTATGGAAATGTAGGTACTCACTCAGTCACAAACATTTTTTCACGCCCATTTTAAATATTTTTAATTAATGTTCCCATATACCTTCTTGTATGCAGAGTCATGTGATCTCACATTGGATCCAAACACAGCACACACTCAGCTCATCCTGTCTGAGGGCAACACAAAAGTGACATATGTGAAAGAGAAGCAATTGTATTCTGACCATCCGGAGAGATTTGAGAACTTTAAGCAGGTTCTGAGTAGAGTCTGGACGCTGTTACTGGGAGACTGAATGGAGCGGACAGGCTGTTAAAGCAGTGTCGTATAAAGGAATCAGCAGGAAAGGAGGAAGAGAATGTCGGTTTGGACTCAATGAAAAGTCATGGATTCTGTTCAACTCTGATAACAGATTTACTGCCTGTCATAATAATAAGAGAACCGACATACCTGCCCCTTCATCTACATCTAAGAGTCGGCCTGTTTGTAGACTGGCTGGGTGGCAGTCTGTCTTTCTACAGTGTCTCTGACACACATATTTCACTGTACTTTCACCGAGCCCCTCTATGCAGGATTTTTGCTTGACTTAGGATTCTCAGCATCTCTGTCACCTGTCAAGAACAGCAGGGACAACTGGGTGAATTTCTTTTAAATATATATATTTTTTCATTCGAATTCACACTTTTTTCTGTCTTAATATGCTGCCATTATTCATGCACACTGATATCAAACCAGTATTGCATGACATTCCGTCTTCGGTGGAACACAAAAGAAGATTTTAATGTTATGTTAATGTTCATTTAAAGTTAAATTAACATAGTTAAGACTGAAGCTAAAAGATGTAGCTAATGTTATTTTGTTGGTCTTTCAAGTATAACAATATTTTGTCTATTTTTTAAAAAAATATATTTTGTTTTATTTATTATTTTTTATATTTGCATACTAGTAAAAAGTGTTAACTGATGACTGTGTAAATGTGAGTAATTTTTTTTTTTCTGCAAAATAATAGTTTGATATTTTACTTAATAGCAATGGTATGATTTTGCTGAAATGTTCAATTTATCTTCATTTAAAATATTTTAAACCATATTTTCATAGACTTCTGTAGCAGTTCTTTTCTGTTAAACAAAACATGATTTAAAACTATATTGTGTTAACAGATCACGCACCTGTGTGTGTATAGCTAAACTGAATAAATGAATATATTGTCAATTATATTGTCCAGTAATACATTTCCAAACAATAACAGTTGAAAATACTTATATAAGAAAATACTTTTAAGTTCTCAAAACAAATCAGTAATAGTAAACAAATTATTGACAATAGACATTCAGATTTATTGACTTACAATAAGGTATGACTCACAATGAGGTATTAAAATGAAAACATTTCAAGTCAGTGTATGGGAAGGGATTCATATTTTCAATTGTTTATATGAGGTAAAACGTTTTCTTAAAGACAATGGTATTTAAATTGTGTCCAAAATGTGCTTCCATAATATAAACATTAAATAGTAGGCATTAATATAGGCAATAATTCCACTTCAAACATTTCATTTGAAGCTGTCACAAATCTCATCATCAGCAAGAATGTAGAATTAACATGAGTGCAAAACCAGCTTGAAATAGAAATATCTGACCATATATTATTTTATATATATATATATATATATATATATGTGTGTGTGTCTGTATATGTATATGCATATGTATATGTATATATATATGTGTATATATACATTATATATATATATATTTACTGTATATATATATATATATATATATATATATAATACACAGTCAGCAGTCTGTTCCTATGTTTGCTTTAAGAGTTTCATGATAACTTATCGTTATGAGAGACATCGAGGAAACAGAAGAGCCTCATACATACTCAACCTCTATTTGTAACCTTAATCATTTTAAAGGCCATTAAACCGACTTGAGAAAGCTCAGAGCGCATATGTAGTGTAGATGCCACTGGTTGGCTAAAATCACTCGTCACTAAAACCCAGCTGATATTCTTACACACTCATTCAAAATAAACACCATAGACAGTAGCGGTGGCGAACAGCGAGCTGTTTTTGAAAGTATGTGAGGAGAAATTATCGTGTGTCTCGTCCCACAGACATCGACTCCCCATGCGCATGTTCTGGTCTCTGATCTGACCAATGCTGATGATGACGATGATCTTATAGCGGGGAATCATCAAATCTTTAACTCTGGCCTTGACCACCTGAACTTACAATGACAACACAGGCTTTAGCATGTATCTGTGTTTATATCTTCATAATGTCAACATGCTTTTACTTAAAATATGTGAGCTGGCAAGTCAGTGTTAAATGTACTGATGTGTTATGTATTTATTATGATTTAGAAAAAATCAATGTAATGAGCGTGTGAAGGTAAACTGACCTCAGAGATGGTTTTGGTCATCTGTCTGCAGAGCTCCGGTTCATATTTCTCCTCCTGCAGGTAGCTGGTCAACACATCCTTCAGAATGTCCTTCACTGTTAACACTGGGAAACGTTGTGCGGGGCCTGTGCAAACATTTACTTATATAAAACTAATACCACACAGCATAGTCTGAGGTCATGAGGGTCAGGTCCGTTAAATAACATTAATTAATAGATTCAACTTGTGAATTTAATAATGTATTAGTAAATGTTGGAATCAATAATAATAAATGCTTTAGAAGTATTTTTCATTGTTAGTTTGTCAACTAATGTAGTTAACTAATGTTAACAAATGGAACCTTAAAAGTGAAGTGACATGTGGCCAAGTATGGTGACCCATACTAGGAATTAGTGCTCTGCGTTTAACCCATCCAAAGTGCACACACACAGCAGTGAACACACACACACGGTGAACACAGCCATTTTTTGTTGCTGCGCCCGGGGAGCAGTTGGGGGTTCGGTGCCTTGCTCAACGGCACCTCAGTCGTGGTATTGACTGAGGTGCCCTTGAGCAAGGCACCGAACCCCCAACTGCTCCCCAGGCGCCGCAGCATAAATTGTAAAGTGTTACCAAGCTGATAAAAAAAAACATACAAAATTCACAATTCTAATACTGATGTTTAAGCTGTTGTTTTGCCAGCCAACATGATCAATAACTACCTGTATAATGTTAATTCAGTAGTTGGCTTTTGTTTGTTAAAGAGTAATTTCTAAAGACTAACAGAATGGAAAGTGAAACTGAAGGCGCAGGAAAATTCTATAAGTGAATAGCCAATTAAAACAATATAATATTGTTATATACTTTATACAATATATTTCTAGGAAAAACATGTTTTGCTTGCAACATTTTGATTAAAGATTTTATTATTTGTAACACTCCAAAGAGAAAGGAAAAATTGAAATCGCATCATATGACCCCTTTAATAAAATTCCAGAGTACAGAAAGTGTTCTCTTAATTGTACATAAAATTCACATTGTCATATATTGGCATATGCAATGAGGACTTAAAAATTTAATGCATAACCCACATGATATTATCTTTCCTGTGAAATTATGTTGGTGGTTCTTTGGTAATGATTTTGTATTTTTTTCCTCCGTGGGATCAGTTTCTCTATAACAGTGAAGGAGAAGAGACTCACTGAGCTGATAGGTGTTCTCCATTTGCACCGCAGGCCGTGGAATATCATCATGATGTCCAGGCTCTTCCATGTAGGACACTGTGCTGATAGAGCTAAGGACACACACAAATGATCCTTCCTCATCCGTACTTTTATATCTAAACCTTTCTTTGTTGTTATTTTACTATGTGTGTTGGTAGATGTTAAGGAATGACAGTAACTCACTCCTTGGTTTTGGCAAAGGCTTCTTTAGCTCTGACTTCATGACTGCCCAGAGAAGACAAGCTTCCACGCTTCTTCAACAGACGTGCCGCTTTCTCTTTCGCTAAATCAGACATTTTATTGCGGAAAATCGACTGAATTGTATCTGATGTTCTACGGAAAACTGAAAGACATTTAAAAAAAAACATTTAGTCTACACTAATAATTCATAAATGCATTAAAAACGTGTTTCTGTCAACAAAATAGTTCGTAATTTAAACTCAAACGCATGTACATAACTTTCGTAGAGGCTAAATACACTCACCGCTTTACTGTGTCTCTCCTCCACCGGAAATGGTCAGCCCCGCGACCGGCTTGTTGTCAAACGTTGCCTTGACAACAGAGGATTTCATTTTCACTTTGGGTGGGATCTCCCGCCAACGAAAATTCTTCGCTTAGATAGGTTTACCTGAACTGATTTAAATTGAAGACTTCTTAAAAACACCTTCTTCAGACCAATTAAAGAAAATATAAGGAATAAACCGAATGGGACACAATATGTCAATATATTATCTAAATGTCTAAGGAGAACACAGAGAGCACTTCAAAGTTTGAAAATACAACATCCAAACGATATCCATTACTTTTTTATTCATTTTTACACACACACTTTAAATATAAAAATGTCTAAAAACTCAAAGATGAGATATAAAAGGTTTGTTTGATCAAAATGAAGTAAGTTTAGGAAAAAAGAACAAATATCTGACAATGTGCTTAATTCAAAGGGAAAACCCCATTTCATTTAATGGAATTCCCATTTCATAATGTTTATATATTTAATGCCATGACTATGTATTTAAAGGGGTCATATGATGCGATTTCAATTTTGTCTTTCTCTTTGGAGTGTTACAAGCTCTTGGTGCATAAAGAAGATCTGTAAAGTGGCAAAGACTAAAGTCTCAAATCCAAAGAGATATTCTTTATAAAAGTTAAGAGTCAACCACACCTACCTAAAACGGCTCGTTCTAACACGCCCCCACATATCTACGTCGCTATGTGGGAAGATTTGCATAACGCCGCCCAAATGTTCACGCAAAGAAAGAAGGCGTAACTTTTATTCTCGCTGTAGTATTGTTGCCGCCGCTGCCATGTCGTGAAGGCGCTATGTGCTTCACTGTGAAAGCGAAACTACTTTGTTTGGTCTTCCAAAAGAGGACGATATCCGCTCACTCAAGCCGGCCTCCGCTCACTCTAG